CTTAAAGTTAGAAAAAGTAATTTATAAAAACAAAGCCATATCATAAAAGCTCTTGTTTTAAAAATTTATGCAACCACTGCTATCTATGAAGATAATAAGATCATTGTTCTATAGTCTATATGGGTATGTTCTTAAATAATGTGGTCCAAAAACAGTTAACGATGGCATATCTTGAGTGGAACATTATCTTGTAATGTGCTAGGCTTGTTAAGAGTTGTTAAAATAGCCAACCCACCACCACCACCACCACCACATTAGATCGCCTGCACGGCTTAGGACCAAAAAACTCATAGGGTCAAATGACACATAATAATAAAGACAATACGGGTCAAAAGCCCTATGGCCTACAAAACGAGCCATTCAAAGTTAAAGTTTCAAAAAATTTATTTATTTTTATCGGATTCAATGCATTCAAAATTATTTTAATAAATAAATATTTAACTTTCATAAAATATTTTATATAAAATTTATATTATTTATAATTTATACTTTTAATAAAATAATATTTGCACACAAATATACAAGTGAAAATGTAAGTAAAATTTTAATTATTTTCTCAATAATCCCTAAACAATTGGTTCTATATCAAAAACATTTAACTCCCCACTTCTTATTATATTCAGAGTACTTATATTTATTATTAAGTAAAATTAAAGTGAGGATTTCTATTATTCACTAAAATTCTCATTATAGATGAAAAATTTCACGGTTCAATTTTTTTTTTAGTAAAAATCAGTTAAACAATACTATGTGTAGCCCTCTCAATTTTTTGCTATAACAAATCAAGTAATGCGAAATGTTTTTGTCACTTTTTCTAATTTAATCTTTTTACTACATTTTTACAATTTTAACTTTTTTAGAATTAGTAAGGGATGTTGATATCGTATGATACACCGACACTTACACGGGACACGACACGACACGCCGACACGTTAATTCTAAAAAATGTTATATTTCAACACGTTGGAACACGTTTTGATATTAAATAATATTTTTAATATATATATATATAATATAATTTATATTTAATACACATAACGGCCTATAATAAGTTATATAACCAATCAAATATTCAAATTTTATAACATAAATATAAACAAAAATAATTTTTCGCACCTTGTTAATTTTTAATGTAAATTTTATAACAGAAAAAAATTGATTTATAATTTTTTTTATTTTTAGTTAATAAAATAAAATTAAGAAGTAAAAAAAAAAACGTGTTGGATGCGTGATGGAGTGTTGACTGCGTGTCGGTAAAAGTTGACTGTGTGTCAGAACGTGTCGGAGCGTTGATCGCGTGTCCCAAAATGTTTACCGCGTGTCGGAGCGTGTCCATGTCCGCGGACACGTGTCCGACACGCACATTTTGAAAAATTTAGCATGACGGTGCTTTGAAGTTGATAACTATATAAGCTATTCTGGGTGTGCATAACAACTTTCACGGAATTAATTTTTTCAAAAAAAATTATTCTAGGGAATATAAGTAGTTAGAAATAGTGTTTGACAAAACTGAATTTTTTTTTTGTTCCCAATAATGAAGTAGTTTAATTTCTGTTATGGGAAATAAATAAAAGAATCAACTTTTTTTTTGCCTTTTTATTCCAGGCCACAAAAAGAGAAACACTAATCTCTCACTCTCTGATACACGCCTGCTCTGCCTTCTTATGTTTCCAAACTGACTATTTTCTACCTATCAGATAAACTTCTCTTCTCTTCAAAACATTGTTTCTCTTCCTCTTCCTCTCCCTCCCTCTCCCTCTTGGTTATATATTTTTGTGAAAAAATTACACAATTTTCCACGCATTCGTGTTTATCTCCTATATATTGTTCTCTGTTTATCTCCCGATTAAAATATTTATTCCAACACGTTGAATGAAATCTCTGTAACTATTTCAAAAATAAAGAAATAGATATGTATTGCATTATCAAACATAATTATGTTTCTCGGAATAAAAAATAAAATGCATTATCAAACACATTTTTCCCCAAAGACTCTTTCAAGGAACAAAAATAGAAACATATTATTTCTTTTCAGAAATAATGCTGGAGAATATAGTCGTTATCGTGCAACCCTCTATATTACTGTTATAGATTTTAAGAATTTAGTTATAATTTTTAAACATGACTTAATTAAATTATTAAAAAATAGAAACATAAAAATTCTATTATTTTTTTAAATATATGAAAATGATTAAAATTTAATTAAAAGAAAATGTTATTTTTAAAAATAGAAACATAAAAATCCTACTTATAAAGTTTTAAATATAAATGTCGAGAGTTTACTAATTATTTTTTTGTTTAAAAGAAAAAGGGAAATATTTAAAATCATTTGAAAATGATTCTCTCATGTAGTGTTATTAAACCTAGATCTGTTATTGGTTAAATCAATTGAATTGATTTATGCAAAGATATGTAATAATATAACTAGAAGTAATATGACAACTAAAATAATGTGTCCTAGTAATTAGCATTTGACTTCTTTTCCTTATATTATGTTCATAATTTTTACTATTTAAATTTATACATTTATCTATATTTGTTTATTTTTTAAATAATAAAAATTTTGATAAAGGAAAGATTATGTCCCACTCCGAATATAGAAAATAACATCTTTAAAATATATAAGGATAAAGTTGCATATAAAAATTATCGTCACCCTTATTTTTACTAGGGGTTTAATGGGAAGTGGAGAGCGGAGAGGATAAGTCCCGTAGTCGCTACCTAGCGCCCTAAATCATAGGCTTTGGGGTTAGAGCTAGAAAATACTCTAACACGAAGTGAGCTTAATTAGTTAGGGCAAAATATATGAATTCTAGGGCCGGCCTTAAGGTTATAGCCTATTTTGACACTTATACTTGTAAAGATATTTTAATTAGCCATCTGTTCCTCCGGGTTATAACACATTTTGACACCTATACTAAAGATATTTTAATTAGCCCTCTATTCACCTATGCTATATATATTGGGCAAATTTTCACAAATGTAATGTTATGACTTGGTGCACTCGAGAAAGCCCTGTGCTTTGGTGTGGTTTAGATAGTGGAGTTTAAACCTATTTGGGTTTAAAACTTTGATTTGAGAAGTAGATCAGTTTGTTATATCTTAAATGCTAGTTCCAGTCGGTCTTCCATATTATCCCCTTCTTTTTCCTTTAATCCTTTTCCCGTTGTCATCTTCTCTTGGCAAAGATGGCTATTATTTGGCAGACCCCTGTGTTAGACTATCCCTATGTTGCTTTTGCTTGTTTCTCGCAATGCAGAGGACTCAGCTTCTAGTCTCCATATAAAATATATTCAGTGTTCACTGTCTTCCTTTCAATGTATCTGAAGTTGGGAATTAATTCTTTGTTCTATTTGAGGCTGTAACGTTTCAGCTGCAATAACACTTGATTTATCAAAAAAACCTTGATGTTAGATAAATAAATACTGTGAGGATATAAAATTTGAAGTCTTAGTTTTGGAATTACTATTTAAAAACCTTTACTCTTTTAAAAAAACTGTTCTTGTTTACATACTTACTGTCATTCAAGGTGTTTGTTTTCGGTGAAATTATTGTTTTTGAATTTACAGAAACTTTTATGTTCCCCAATACATGTTAACAAATAGTGACTTGATTAATGTGTTTGTTACAATTTAAAGTAGTGAAAAGAAAGCTAAATTGGCAATACAAGTGCAAGCCAAGCAACTGACAGAAGAAGTGGTACCATACCAATCTTGTAATGAAATGTTACATTAGAAATTACATCATTATTTCCTGTGATAGGTATGGTTCATGAAAAATATAAGCCACATAGACACACCATATCCTTGTTACTGGCATAACCAAATAGTAGTGAAGTTAAATAAACCAAAGAAACATAATTAAATTATAAAATATAATTCAAAACCAATAATTTTAATGAAGTCAAAACTTCATGAACAAACATTATGAGCTCATTCCTTCAACACAAATATTTTGCATGATAAATTTACAATTATAAATGAAATTTTATATGCCCAATATCCTAGGATTGGTAACAATTCTCTAACCTACGCTAAGGCCACCAGGTACAGATCCTCAAGGCAGCAATTATATATCAGCAACTAAATGTAAGTTAATGTTGTAAGTTGGTGTAAAACCTGATGTTAAGATTTGTATTTCATCTTTGTTGTTCTTGTTCAATCGTTGTATTTGGTGATGAAGATATATAGGTGCTCACTTCAATAAGGAAATAAAATTGATAGTTTATTTAAAGATTAAAATCTTTTTTGGATCCCTAACAAAAAATACAATCTCTCACTTTAGTCCCTTACAACAAAAATTAGTCTCAAGATCCCTAAGAAATTCAAAGTGGATCCATTTAGTTAAAATTGTGGTTTTTCACAAATTCAAAAAAAAACTCATATTAATCTTTCAAAAGGACTAAAATGAGTCTACTTTTAATTTCATAGAGATGAGGCGACTAATTTTTTTTTTTTGTAAGAGGACCCAAAAATGGGTTTTAATCTTATTTAAATTAACCTTTCTTTCTTTCTCAAGTAAAAGCTTGATTCTTTTCTTGTGTATTTGTTTATACTTTATACTACTTGTAGAATCACATGTAATGGAAGTAAAGTTAGACCTTTTTGTCCAAGAATGTTCCGTCTCTTCTGTTTGATTCTTTTTTCTAACATTGAAGTTAGACATTCTATTCCAAGTGCTTTGCGTCAATAGCTAGAAGATCTCTCTCTCTCTCTCTCTCTTCTTCTTTTTTCTAAAATAGAATTTGCAATGTGGCTTTCTTCTGACTTTGATTGATTTATACTTTTGTTCGCCATACACTACCGAAGAAGTTATCCCATTCACAAAAATTGATGACTAGACTTTTGAAAATTTCCTTCTAGTTTAAATAAAGTGACTTGCCATTGGATTGACGTTGCATAATTAGTATTCCTCTTGGCTCTTTCAGCACAAACAGTAACACCTATTCTCAAGAGTGCATTGCATCCCTGTCCCTGCTCTTTCATCTCTCCCCCAAAATCATGGCCGAATCTCTCCTCTTCAGTGTCGCAGAATCACTCGTTGGGAAGCTTGCTTCTACTGCTGTTCAAAAAGCTTCCGAGGTGCTCTGTGTGTACGACGATGTGCAAGGGCTCAAAGAAACTGTGTCATTCATCAAAGCTGTCCTGTTGGATGCAGAGCAAAAGCCGCAGAAGAGCAATGAGCTGCGTGCGTGGCTGAGACAGATTAAGCGTGTTTTCTCTGATGCTGAAGACATAATAGATGATTTTGAGTGTGAAACTTTACGTAAGCATGTGGTCAACACTTACGGTAGCTACACAAGGAAGGTGCGCCGGTTTTTCTCAACATCTAATCCTCTTGTTTATCGTTTTAGAATGGCACATCATATCAAAGATATTAAAAAGAGGTTAGACAAGGTTGCTGCTGACAGGGATAAGTTTGGTCTTCAGATCAAAGATATTGACACACGTGTTGTGCATAGGAGGGAAATGACTCATTCCCATGTAGTTGCTTCAGATGTGATAGGAAGGGAACATGATAAAGAAAAAATTATAGAGCTTTTGTTGCAAGATGGTACTGAAGCTAGAAGTCTCTCTATTATCCCCATTGTGGGAATTGGTGGCTTGGGAAAGACTACACTTGCAAAGTTGGTCTTCAATGATAAGATTGTAGATGAGTCTTTTCCGTTGAAGATGTGGGTCTGTGTCTCTGACGATTTTGAACTTGAGGATATGCTTCGTAAAATCCTCAAATCTGCTAAGGATAGTAGTACGCCTTCTTCTACCCTAACTCGCCAAGAGAGCTTTAAAAACTGTGAAATGGAGCAACTCCAACATCTTCTAACAAGTAAACTTGCCGGAAAAAAGTTCTTGCTTGTCCTGGATGACGTGTGGAATGAGGATCGTGTTAAATGGCTGAAGTTGAAGGATTTACTACAAGGAGGTGCTGAAGGAAGTAAAGTCTTGGTGACTACACGTAGCCAATCAATTGCTAACATGATGGGCACTAATTCATCTTACGGTTTACAAGGTCTTTCTGAAGATGATTCATTGTCCCTATTTGTCAAATGGGCTTTTAAAGAAGGAGAAGAGACAAAATATCCAGAATTGTTGGAGATTGCGAAAGAAATTGTGGAAAAATGTGGAGGCCTTCCTTTGGCAGTGAGAACATTAGGGAGTTCACTATTCTTAAAAGTTGATAAAGAAGAGTGGGTTTCTGTCAGAGACAATGAGATTTGGAATTTACCATCAAAAGAAGGTGACATTTTACCTGCTTTAAAATTAAGTTATGATCAACTACCATCATATTTAAAACCATGTTTTGCTTGCTTCTCCCTTTGTCCCAAGGATTATTTTTTCACTGATTATGAGGTTACTGGGCTTTGGGAGTCACTTGGTTTTCTTCCGTCACCAAACAAAAACAAAACATTGGCAGATGTTGGCATCCAAATTTTGCGTGAGCTACAATCAAGATCTTTTCTTCAAGATTTTATTGACCATGGTACTTTTGTTCAGTTTAAATTACACGATTTGGTGCATGATCTTACAATGTATGTTGCAAAAGACGAGTTTCATCGCTTAAATTCTTGCAGTCAGAAAATATCTGAGAATGCCCGGCATTTGTTTTTCACCAAAAATGATTTGCTTGGTCAAACTTCCATTCCAAGTGGTTTGAGAACGATAATTTTGCCTGCGGGAGCCAATAATGAAGCTTTCTTGAATACATTAGTATCAAGGTGCAAATACTTGCGGTTTTTAAATTTAAGTGGATCTGAATATGAGAGTTTGCCCTGCTCCATTGGGAAGTTGAAACATTTGAGATTTCTATCTCTTGACTCTAATGAAAAACTTAAGAGACTCCCTACTTCAGTATGCAAGCTCCAAAATCTACAAGCTTTGTACTTCGGTGGATGCACTAAGTTAAAAACTTTGCCCAGAGGAATTGGAAACTTGATTAGCCTTCGAGAGTTGAGTGTAAGCACAAAGCAATCTGTTTTCCCAGACAAAGAAGTTGCAAAATTGACTTCTCTAGAAATTTTAACTTTATCTTATTGTGACAATATGGAGTCATTGTTCCAAGGGGTGCAACTTCCTACCCTTAGATGGTTGACTATTGATTCTTGTGGTAGTCTAAAGTCTTTGCCATTTCATGCTACTCCAAATCTAGAGAGTTTGGTTATTGGCGGGTGCAGTAAGTTGGAAATGTCGAAGTGCCTTGATAACCAAATCATTGAGTTAAGGTTAAAGTATCCACATCTTTGTGATTTGCCGCAGCTGGTGACTTTGCCTCCATGGATTCAAAGATATGCGAATACATTACATTCCTTGAACATTGAAGGGTGTGACAATATTAAGGAGCTTCCCGAGTGGCTGCCAACTCTTGTTTGTCTCAAAACACTTATTATTCTCTATTGTCCAAAGTTGCTTTCACTCCCCGATGACATGCTTGTTTCCACCAACCTTGAATACTTACGTATTGAATATTGTCCGGAATTATGTAGAAGATACCAGCCAGAAGTTGGAGAGAATTGGCCCAAAATATCACACATCAAAAGAATATACATTGGTGAACCAGAATAGGCAGAGGAATTCTCGTACAACATGGTCAAAAGTTGAAGGTATTAATATTCCCTTATTGTGGTTTATTGCTTTAGATGATTTAGGAGGAAATGATTATTTTTTTTCTTTTTTTGGCGACATAATGATTTTAGTGTTTACATATTAAAAACCAGTGTCCGTATTAGACCCCGACAAATCAGGGTACGGACGAGAGGTCAATTGTTGTAAGCAATTTTGTTTACATAATATATTATTTAAATTTTTGGAGTAGTGGTAAAGCTATTCTAACACGAGAAGTAGTATTTTTGCAAATATCTAATACTGAGATTGCATACAAAAATTGCTCTCACCTGTATTCTGGTTAGTTGTGGTTTAATTGGGAGGGATATGCTTCTTATATTTCTTAATGGTTTTTTGGTTTCAAATTGTTAGCACTTTTGGATTCAATTATAAGACTATCGATATATCTTGATAGGAAAATGTTTTGTTTTTTTAAAGTATTTAAATTATGTCCTTTCGCTCCCTTTTAATTATGCATTTCAAGAAATATATAATTATAATATTAAAATTGTATTTTTTTTTCACTTTTCACATCAGCCGACAGTTTCTAAAGAAGAAAAAAATTACAAAACGGATTCGAGTTTATAATACCTTGAAGTTTGTTGGAGTGAATTATTTTCAATGATGTATCAAATAACCTCTGGCGATTTTATAGATCATTAGGATAATTTTGATTACTATGCCATTATTGGAAACTTTACTTTCCTGACTGTCATTTTGATGAGATATGTCTTAAATATTCTTTTTTTCTGAAAAATTACAAAATGGTATACCTCTTGAAGGTTTATTGTTTCAAGTTTGCTATTAATTTTTTTGTAAATTCAAGAATTTTTGGAACTATTATTTTAACACTTCCTCTGTTTTATCTTATTCATATATTTTAACTCATAATCAAATCAGTTTTTTAATTCGAATTCAGCATTGCGTTAAGTGAAAGGTTGTTGAAACTTTATAGAAATACAAACATGGATATCCATAAGAAATTTAAATTTCAGTTCAAGACGAATAAAGGCAGCAGCTTGTTATTACTGACGTGATTGATCATGTTGTGCATGTTTGCATTAACAACTTTGATTGGGTCAGTTTTCGAAGAATATTGATGATACTCTATTTAACAGAATACTTATTAGATTCTCAAGCAATATAAATAAGTTCAAGTATTGAGGGTGACGTCAAGAATATGCACAAGTTTAGTGCATAGATATTTGTTATGTTGCTTATAACAATCCTTCACTTAGAACTTGGATTTTTTTATTTTATTTTTTGATATTATTCATCGATTCACCTATTAATGACATGGGTTGTGAATATGAGGAATTATTCCCAAGTATGATACACATTTTTCAACTTCGCTTAAGGGAGCATTAAATTACACAAATTTATAAACAATGAGATTGCATAAGATATTTTGGTGAGTTATACAAAAATGTCCCATACCCTTGTGTCTAACATGATACCAAATATAGGGATTTTTTTGTGGTTCGTGCACAAATATAGTTGGGAATTTTGGATTCCTATATGTTATAAAATGGCCTAAAAACTGATGTTAAGTCTCGTATTTCAGCTGTTCTTCATAATCAATGGTTAGTAGTTTGTGGAGATATTCAGAGATTTATTTGTTCTTAATTCATGAAGGATATTAAATTCATAGTTTATTAAACCCTTTCTTCTTCCTTCTTCTTCAAGCAAAAGCTTGATTCAGTTCTTGTTTATTTGTTTATACTAGTAGAATCACATGGAATGGAAGTAAAGTTAGACTTTTCAGTACAGAAGCTTCCCTTCGTCTCTTTGTGTCCTTCTTCTTCCTTCAATTTCTGCTTCAGTTGGCGTACCACTACAAGGACAGAGAAGATTCACTTGCCGTTGATCGCTTGCTTGAAGAGAAGATTATTGTTCTATATTATCTGTGTGTCTGTATTTAATTAATGTTAGTCCCCATTTAGTTTGCAAAGACTTGTCTTATAATGTTTCTTTCATAGTTCGGATTGAGAAGTAGTTGAGTCCAAATGTTGCACCTTATTGTACGATAAATTATCTCTAGACTGTTGTTGTTTGTTTCTTGCTTGTAATGTTAGGGGACTTGCATCTAAGTTTCCGTGTGATACAATATTTATTCACGTTCTTCTCTCCATTACATATTAAGTTTGATATTAATTCTTGATTCTACTTTAATGCTACCTGTTTCAGACTTTCAGCTTCTATACAACTCTTGGTTCTTTGAAATCTTAGTGTTTGATAAATAGCATGTTAAGTCATTAATAAGAGATGTTCAACCCTTGTGCTGGGGATATAGTACTGATAAAGACAAGGCCTTGTGCAGCAAAGATGGGATAATTTTTCAGAATGATAAATGCATGCTCGGGTCCAAGTCAGCATTAAAGGAGACCTTATTGATGGAAGCTCATTGTTTACAATTGGGAGGACATGCAGGTGTGCAACGTACCTTTTTACGTCTGTCCACTTCTTTCACATGGAGAAATATGAGACGAGATGTTAAGCAATTTGTGAAAGAATGTGTGGTTTGTCAACAAGTTAAAAGTTCAACCCAATTACCTTTTGGTTTGTTGCAACCACTAAGTATACCAGATGCTATGTTTGATGATCTCACTTTAGATTTCATCACTTCTCTGCCCTGTTCCAATGGCTATACCACCATTTTAGTTGTAGTTGAGAGATTATCAAAATATGGTCACTTTGGAGCTTTACCTTCTTCTTATACAGCTGCCACAGTTGCTCATCTTTTTTGTAATATGGTAGTGAAATTACATGGCTTCCCAAAATCTATGGTATTCGACAGAGATCTAATATTCATGAGTAAGTTTTGGTGGCAGTTGTTCTCATTGAGTGGTACTACATTGCAAGCTACGTCAGCTTATCACCCTCAATCCGATGGCCAAAGTGAGGTGACAAATCGGTATGTTGAGCAATATCTCCGGGCATTCTGCTCAGAACAGAACCATAGGTGGTCTAATTTGTTATGCTGGGCTGAGCTGCACTACAATACTTCTGTCCATTCCTCAATTCACATGTCCCCTTTTCAAGCTTTATATGGGAAAGCACCTACATTAGTACCTCCATACCAGAAGGGAGATGTCAAGGTTGAGGTTGTTGATATGATGCTGCAACCACGTCAACAAGTGTTGAATCAATTAAAAATTCAGTTAGCACAAGCACAATTGCGTATGAAGACTAATGCAGATAGGAAGAGACAAGAGCGAACATTTCAAGTTGGAGACAAGGTTTTATTAAGGCTGCAGCCTTACAGGCAGTTGTCTGTAGTTCGAAGAGAGCAAATCATAAATTGGCCAAACGATATTTTGGACCATTCCAAATCAAAAAGGTTATCAGTCCTGTGGTTTACCGCTTAACTCTACCAGCAGGAAGCATGATTCATCCCACCTTCCATGTATCCTTGTTGAAACCATTTTATGGTAAGACTGATGTGAGTTATGAGCCTTTACCTATTTCGCGTATGGACAACAGGCCCATCCAACAACCGATAGCTGTTTTAGCCACACGACAGACAAAGGTCAGAGGAAAGCTCACCACCGAGTATTTGGTTCAATGGTCTTCCGCTGTCTGAGGATGCTTCTTGGGTGGCGAGGAGAGAGTTACATCAAGTGTATCCTGACTTAAACCTAGAGGACAAGGTTACTGTTGCAGGGGAGGCTGTTGATACGAATGGAGAGCAAGGAGCTGAGCAGGGAGTTCATAAACGTGGAACTAGATTGAGAGGATGTCCTAGTTGGGTGAAGGATTACATTCAGTAGAGGAGTATTAGTGATATATAGTGAATTGTATAAGATACATAGAGTTAGTGGAGTTGTATAGGTGGCACACACATGTAACAATGCTGTAGATAAAGGAATACGTGGCAAGCATGCAAGAGGTATAAATAGATACCAATGTGTAATTGACAGCATTCATTGAGAAATAAGAAATTGGTTACTCGTTGTCATTCAGATACATTACTTGTATTGTATCAACGACCTCAAGTCAACTGGAACTCTCTCATGAAGACCTATCTAGTGAAAGTCCGTAACGCCTGAAGGCAAACTGTCTACTGGCCAGAGACTCGGTACATTCTATGTACCACTAACATACAATAATGCATGAACATGTTATACTACATCACTAACATACATCTCTAACCACTATCCTCAACAAGCATGGTGGACCACACAAAAGCATTGTTGTAAAACCTGGCCCGACCCGGCCGGGTCAACCCGGAACCCGGCGACCCGATCATTGGACCGGTCTGGGTCAAGCATTGGACCGGTCATGAATCGACCTGGCCAAACCCAGTCAAAACCGATGACCCGGTGACCCGTTGACCCGGTCGGGTCATGTATTTAAAAAAAAAAAAACTAAAAAATTAAAATTGTTTCATCTTATCAAAAAAAAATGAAGAACTCATTAGAAATTGTTTTTATAATTTTATTTGCTAGTATACTCTTCTACAATGACCTCAAATTTCAATTTTTAATATTGAAGCAGTTTGCAGAATAATAAATTAAGAGAATGTGACATATGTTATTTTAATGTAGTTGAATTTGAAAAATATGAGTTCAACGTAATTAAGAGGTATGTTTATGGGGATTCTGAGTTACAATTTAAATTGACATAGTAATAACGTGCATTTTTATTTATTTATGCTTCATGTTTTTTAGCTTATTTAGTGAACCTTGTTTAATTCATTTTAGATATGAAAAATATTCTTGACTTTATATGTTCATATCTATATATTTTTTTATATATGTATATATATTCGGGTCAACCGGTCCGACCAGTGACTTGCCGGTCCGACCAGTGACCCAGTAACCCAATACCTCGACCGGGTCAATGTCCGGGTCGGGTTTAATAACACTGCACAAGAGAATCAAATCCCAGTACCAAGAGATAATTTTATATATATACAAAAAAAAATAATTTTATCTCATACTAAAAGATATTAAACCCATAAACTTATCGTATTAATTCATATACAATCGATAAAAGTATGATACAGTAGTCTACCCTATCATTTCTTTTTGCGTCGACCAATAAAGAAGAAAGGATCAAAATTTCAAAGAATTAAAAAATAACGCAACACGAGTTCACATTCTGCTTTTAATAAAGAAATATATTAAGCCCCACAAATAGAAAGAAATATATTAAGTACTGAATATTATTATCAACAAAAGTAATACACCTTAAATGATTAAATAATAAACTACAATTTCATGCTGGGAACAGCACATAAAAATTTACGATTCGAAAAAAAAAAAAAGAGTAAATATCATTTTTGGTCCTCAGCAAATTTCACGATACCCGCTTTAGTCCCTAGCAAATAAAAAGACTCGTCGTGGTCCCTAAATAATTCAAAATGGACCCATTTTAGTCTTTTTAGGGACTAATATGGGTCTTTTTTGAATTTGTGAGGGACCACGATTTAACTAAATGGGTCCATTTTAAATTTCTTAGGGACCACGATGGACCTTTTTATTTGCTAGGGACTAAAATTGGTATCGTAAAATTCGATGAGGACTAAAAAGGGTATTTACTCAAAAAAGAAAAAAGAAAAAGCAGTAAATCGGAGCGCGTGTTCCGTACCACACCAATAGCCAAAAACATAAGATGACGCTTTAACTGTTCTCCCTCGCTCTTGACATTGTATGGTCTGAAAGAAACCAATGGCTACTGCGAAGATAGCACTCGGAGTCGGAACCGTCCCGACTCACCGAGTCACCACCGTCACCACACTTTCCCCCACCGCATTTCCTCCGCCGCCGCACCGCCTCATCTTCATCAACACGCGACGGCCCCTCCGAACTCGTCCTTTCTCCCTCAGAGTCCAAGCCTCCTCCGCAGCCTCACCAGGTCACTCGCAACAACTACTCTTTCTCTGCGCTCTTGAATGCTATTCAATGAATGTGACTATAATTTGCGGCATGTGACGGCGGTGAATTCGATGGTTGTGTGCGTTTTTATTTTTATTTTTATTTTTATAATAAGCTATGTTGTCAAGTTTCGGAGAAAATGAGGTTGGAGATGCGTTTTTGTTGGTCTGTTCTTATGGAGGATTCGTGTTGATGTTATTGAAGGATGAAACTAATATTAACTGTGGCTGTGTGGAAATTTATCTGTTGATTAATTGATGTGTTGGATTGGTGAGCCAGAAAGATAATAATGTCCTGGTTTGGGAGATTACGGTGATGTGGATTTAATTAGTAACATTTGATGTTGAATTGAGTTTAAGGTAAGGGAAAGTGGTGGTAGGAATTGGGTAATTGGAAATCAGTGGTGGGTAGTTTTTGAAGGATTTGTAGATGCTTGGGTAGAAGCGGTGAAGATTGATAAGTTGTACTTCGTCGTTGAGAATGGGTGGTTTAGATAGAAGTATCAAACACTTGGAGTTTGTTAGATATTATGGATTTTCATTGTTATAAGGTTGACTTATGTGATTCTTTAATTCATGTCTTGGCTTCTCTTTGTGGGGATTGATTGCAATCTCAGTTAGACATTTAGGCCAGTTAATAAGGGCAGCTGTATAATTCATGTGTTTTTGGTTATTTGGTTAGTCCAGTTTTCTTAGCTGAAACCTAGGGTTACTTCTAGCAGATGTTGTTTTAATGACCCAATACAGAGGTTTTTTGTTCCCTGCTGATCAAAACACAGATGCTAAGTCTAGTGAATGAGAATTAAAATTATTGACTTGGCGGTTCTGTCTTCTTTCTTATTGTATGTTGAAGTAATTCATGTTATTTATTGTATGCTGAAGTAATTCATGTTATTAGTCTTTCTTTTACTTTAGATAGACAAGGAAAGTTGACAGTGGCATCTTTTTTCTTCTCTCAGGAAAAGGAGTTGAGAATGTGGTAATTATAGGTTCAGGCCCTGCAGGATACACAGCAGCTATATACGCAGCGCGTGCCAATTTGAAACCTGTAGTGTTTGAGGGGTACCAAGTGGGTGGTGTTCCTGGGGGGCAGTTGATGACTACAACAGAAGTGGAGAATTTTCCAGGTTTTCCAGATGGGATAAGTGGACCTGATCTGATGGACAGGTATTAAAAACAGAAGTAAAAGCTTGGTATTACTCATGTAAACCTTGGAGTTCACACATTTTCTACTTATCTAGGATGCGACGGCAAGCTGAACGTTGGGGAGCAGAATTGTATCAAGAAGATGTTGAAGCTATTGATGTGAAAAATAGTCCTTTTACGGTCCAAAGTAGTGAACGTAAGGTGATATTTTCAGTAGCAGCAAGCCGATTTACAATTTCATGATTGCATAGATATTGGTATCCCTAAAATTTCAAGAATATATCTGTTAGAAAAATATAATATAAAGCTATTAATGTAGCCTTCGCCTCACAGTTTAAACTTTTAAGTGAATTAGTTCTTTACATGGTATCAGAATTTATGTGGCCAAATGATCATGAGTTTGATTCCCATCACCCCTCATTCTATTTATAAATAATTATATTATGCAGTTTCTTAGCATAGGTAGACAGGCCTGTGCATTGTCCACATTTCAAGCTCAATGAGCTCTTGTGTGAGGGGCCATGTTAAAGAAATATAATATAAAACCATTAATATAGCCTTCGCCTAATAGCTTTAGCTTTTAGGTTGAATTGGTTTTTTATAATATCTTTTAATTTGATTAGTTCTTTGAATCTGCTTTGTGATTTTCTTCTTTTTTGAAGTTAAATTGATGCAAATTGTTGTACATATGTGGTAATTTCTTTTATTTATAAATAATCTATTGAGTATTTTGCTCATAATGTGAATCCTGGAAGTTATTGAAATTACAGAATATCTGCTGACATTATGGCCATTATTTTATATATTGATTTAATAACATTCTGAGTTCTGACATCAATTTGTTGTTTAATTATAATATCTTTCTAGTTGTGTTTCTTTGGAAGAAAAGTAGTTGCTGTAGTTACATCAGGTTTTCTTGATTATATTATAATTCAGGTTAAGTGCCACACTGTCATTTTTGCTACTGGAGCTACTGCGAAACGACTTAGGCTACCTCGAGAAGATGAATTTTGGAGCCGAGGAATTAGTGCTTGTGCAATTTGTGATGGAGCATCGCCTCTCTTTAAGGGTCAAATTCTTGCTGTCGTTGGAGGAGGGGATACAGCTACAGAGGAAGCATTATACTTGACAAAATATGCTCGTCATGTTCATTTACTTGTACGTCGGGACCAACTAAGGGCTTCCAGAGCTATGCAAGATAGGTGTGTCTGAGTGATATTTCTTTACTCTTAATTGTAACTTGTAAGTTGTTAAGGAATAGCTAACCTGCAATGTATGTTAAATTAAAAAAATAAAATAAAAATTGTAGTGATCTTGCATGTGAATGCTCTGATCCTATCAATTACAATCTATAAATTGAAATTTGTTATATAATTATGAGCTCCTATGCACTTCATAATGTATCCCTTTTAGTTTCTCAACTCTCTCTGTCTCTTCCTATGTCTCATGCAGACAAACACACATATTTGTTGTTCCTGGGGAAAGATAGAGTTTGAGACAAACCTTATTCGATCAGTTTTCTAAACTCATCGACCCTGGCCAGATTCTCGATCTTTGAACCATCATATTTTTATCATTAGGCATAATAAGTCCTTTCATTTTCCACCTTATGTTTAGTTGGCGTTATACAACTCATAAATTAGTTTTTGTTTCCTTTTGTTTTTGCTTCATTGTTTAGTATAGATTTCTTACTATTTCTTTTTTCCTTTTCTATGATCAGTATTTTTTTACTATTAAGGGAATTTTGAATTTCTTTGGCATTTTTTTATGTCAAGAATTTGTATTGGATGTCAACAATAGTTTCTAGGCCTTATGGTGAACAAGCTAAGTTTCTTTTGGCTATAATTAACTTGGAAAATATTTCCTAGGTTAAGGTTTGCTTGTGCTTTGGTTTTTAGTATGGATGAAAGCTATATATATCCTAAGAACTAAACGTGTTTGATCACAATTCTCTTATCACTTATGAGAAACCATGCTCACTCTCTTCCCATATCCGCCAAAAGATATGCACGAAGATGTATAACACGACCACAAGCACGTGCTTGCAAAATGATGTATCGAATAACAAGTGTGGTATTCTCAATTGCTGATGTTTGTCTTTGTCATTATGTTGGTAGTGTCTACTTTTTATATAGACTTGGAATATAATCGTATCATGTTATAGTACCATTTTAATGCAGGAAAGTGGAAGCAAATTGTTTGGGACATGAAGTTTTACATTACTGGCTAAATACTAGAAGCATTTTGGATTTCTTGTCTAGATTATCATTCCGTAGTGGGTTATGAACCCATGCTATGGGATTATATATCTGGATTCTAATATAATATATTTAATGAGCAAACTGTGTTTATTTTTATGTTATACATGATGAAAGTTTTCTGCTTAGTCTATGACATCAGTCAATTTTTCCATGCTGAACACAGAAGATATTGCATGGTGGAAATATTCTAATAAAAATAAATTTTTAATTGGTTGAAAAGTTAAAGCTTGTCTTAAAAGAGAAATTAAAGAGAAACTTCTTTTGGGCATTTCTGAGCATTTTCTAGACTCCAGGTCTCAACAAGTTGCTTAACTCTGTTAAATTTTGTATTAGAAAGTGAAAAAAAGAGGAGTTTGTATTGTGGATCTTCGTTTGTTGTCTTCCTTGTTAGTCTGTGCTTAGGCGGAGTTTTCTATTTTGATTTCTTTATGATGGTGAGTTATCTAATAATAAACATTTTGTATGTGAGTTTTCAACTCCCTGAATGTTTGTTTAACAGGTTGATTATCACGAATGTTTCAGAGTGTTTGACAATCCCAATGTGACTGTGCACTTCAATACAGAGGCTGTGGACATTGTGAGCAATACAAAAGGACAGATGTCTGGCATTTTAGTTCGAAAGGTTGATACTGGGGAGGAATCTGTGCTTGAAGCAAAAGGACTATTTTATGGCATAGGCCATTCACCAAATACCCAACTATTGAAAGGCCAAGTTGAACTTGACCTCTCTGGCTACGTACTAGTTGAGGAGGGTACTGCAAAAACCTCAGTTGAAGGTGTATTTGCTGCTGGAGATGTGCAGGTAACCTATTGAGTGCCTTCTGCTTATTAAGTTGATGTTCCTGCAGATTTAAATCAATGCTACATTGTCTACAATAGTGTAAAACAAAGCAGAATTGTTTTAAGGAATAGCTGCAAGAGGAGGACACTATTTGACCAACTTAATATATATTATGCCATTTTCTTGGTGTCATTTGATCTATATGGCTGATCCACCTAGAAAGTTAAGGCTTGGTTTTATAATTTGTTTATATCCTCTTCTTCATTTAAACTTCTTCAAATGCCAATTTAGGGGGGGCAGAATTTTGACCCTTTTCCATCCTTAAATTAATTATGCTGTGTACATATGTACACTGAGTATAGATTTGATTATGAACTATGCAAATTTAGCAGGAAGTTTATTGCCTGAATTTATCTTGTGATTTGATGTTAACTTTTATATGAAAAAAGTAGTAATTGATGTCGGCACCTTTATAAAGGTTATTTCTTCTAATTTTCTTAGGACCATGAATGGAGGCAAGCCATAACTGCTGCTGGATCAGGATGTGTTGCTGCTTTATCAGTGGAGAGATATCTTGTGAGCACAGATCTTCTTATAGAGTTCCATCAGGTATTTGATTTAGAAGAACTCCAATTTTATGTGCACTTATTGTCCTTTGGGTATATAAGACTGTAGAATGAGTTGTTCATAAAACTACATATCACATTGTCAATTTACTACATCTTTATTATTCATGTTCTTAATTCTTATACATTTTATAGAAACAGATAGGGTTGGCAAAACGGGCCAATCTGACCCAACCAGCGTGCAACCCAAAAAAAAACGAGCCGGGTTAGGGTTGGCTCGAAAAAAAAAAATGAGCCAAAAAACCCGACCCTAGCTGGGTTAGGGTTGACTCGAAAATATGGCTCGTGGGATGGCTTGAAAAAATGGCTCGCAAGTTGGCTCGTTTTCAGCCTACTTAAATGAACCTGTAGTATTAATGCACCAGCTATGTGGCTTCCATTAGCTTAAACAATACAATTGTCTTACAAAATAGTTTATAGAAAAAGCAAAATAGAAAAGGGTTACAGAATGAAAAGTAAAAGCAAAATGTTCTAATTTTGAATTTTATTCCCAACAAATTTGCACCAACATCGAGAAACAATCAAAATCACTTGCTACTGAGTGGGTAAGATATTTGAATCAAGCAAAGCCAACACAACCTAACAATATAAAAATGGCAGCAATATGAGAAGATTAGGATTTAGGTTTAGAGAAGGAAGAAAGACGATGACAATGTGTGTGGGTTTTGTCCATTTTTGTATATTATATTTTGTATTTAAAAAAAAAAAAAAAACTCAACCCGCGAACTAGCTCGTTTGACCCGCAGGTTGACTCGTTTTTCCCGAGCTGCCTTGGGTCGGGTTGGCAGCTCATTTTTGCCAACTCAAGCCGACTTATTTTTGACGGGTTACGAGCCAACCCTAGAAACAGATGCAATATTAGCAAGATTTGTTTGTAAAACTTTAATGTTCTATAAATTGGATAAATTTGCAAAAGCTTAGAAATATAGTGTATTTAATTGTTATTTGATAACCAAGTTAATCATATAATCTACTTTACTGAGTTCCGTAAAAGTTTTTGGGTGGAATATGTTGATTAAGGGTTCGTTTTGTTTAGATTTTGATAGATATGATTTTGAAAGAATTTGATACGAACCTTGAGATAACCTCACCCCAAAAGCTAGCTCAAGAGGTAGGAGAGCCCAAAGTCCATATAAACCCTACATTAGTCACCCATTTAACCAATGTGGGACTCCAAGTCCCATACCTTGGAGTAGGATCGTAACATTCCACCACGCTCTGCAGCCCCGACGCCTATGCGGGCTGGCTTTGCGCTAGTTTTTTACTAGCCGTGGGCAAACACTGCAATGCCAGCGTCACCACCCGCGTCGCTCGATTGCAACTGGGAGACATAGTGGAAGACTCTTATACCAGTTGATACGAACCTGGGGGAGAACCTCACTTCAAAAGCTAGCTCAAGAGGTAAGAGAGCCCAAAGTCTATATAAACCCTATATTAGTCACCCATCTAACCAATGTGGGACTCCAAGTCCCATACCTTAGAGTAGGATCATAACAGAATCACTGTTAAAAGACCTACTTTCTGTTTGGTTTAAAAGTTAGTCTAAAAGATTTGTCTTTGTTTGGGTAGGATAAAGTTAAATCACTATTAGTGATAATACAATTTTAGAAAAAGTTGCACTTTGCCATGACTTTTCATGTAGAGATGAAGGAAAACAGTAAAAAAATATTAAAGTTGTTGGAATGGTTTTACGATTTCAGCAAAAGCTCAAAATATTTGCTGTGAATTCATATGGTTTTTCTTGCTGGTAAGATGAACATCAACTGAGAAAACTAACCAAACACTTGCTGCAGTTAAACTGGAGTTTTCTTAGCACAATCGTGCGTTTAGAGCAGCCAAAATCTCAAACAAACATGCTCTAAGTAGTTCTCAGTTGACTTTGGAGCTCAACTAAATGGGATTATTGTCTATGAGCAATCTTACAGGCTTCTCTCATTTCGTCATCATGCAATGAACTCCTATTTAATGACTTAGTGAGGTGCCAAATGGGCGCTGTATTGCATTGGAAAAGTTATGCAGAGGAGCATGGAAATTTAAATGTGCATCACCCATTCTCTTTTTTGATTATTACACAGACCACTGACATTTAAAAAAGCTATGTAAGAATAATTTATTGTAAACTATTTTACCTGAATATGGTCTAAGGAGGAGAAGGCAAGCCTTGGAGCAACGGTAAGACTGCTCTTTTGTGACTGGAAAGTAGCTGGTTTGAGTATGGAAAACAACTGTTGTAAACAATAGTATTTGTTTATTTATTTTCATTCTAGAATCTTCTTTGGGCTTAGCCCATTAGGTTATTTTTTTTTTTTGTAAATAAAGAGGGGCTAAGCCCCAACCCATTAGGTTATTTAGTCTCTTTAAATAGAGAGCAATTGTACAGATGTAATACACAATTTTATCAATAAGACCATCTCTTTTTTTAACTTGGTATCAGAGCTCTCGATTCTGAGAGCTTTGCTTCCGCAAATCACCGCCTTTAAAAATCAAACCCTATTTGCCTCTCGTCGCCACAAAGCCGCCGCCAGAAATTTTTTTCCGGGGACCCCTGTTTCACTCCGTTTTCTCAGATCTATCATTCTACGGAGATTTCTTTTTCATCAGACGACCGGAACAGCTCAAAAAAAAAAAAAAAACTGTTCACGTACTGTTCACGGAGGTACTGTTCATCACGCACTGTTCACCGCGCACTGTTCATCGGTTACTGTTCACGCAAACTTTTCTGCTTGGTTTTGTATCCTCTTTCCGGATCTGTGTTTTTCTCTTCAGTCAGACATCATTTGGATTTGCGTTTGTGTGATTTTCACCTCAATATTATGGCGTGTTCAAATGGTGCATCATCAGAATTTATTTCTATTCGCCGAGATGAGTTGGAGCAGATTCGTACTAATTCTCTGAGTAAGCCATCTAATACTAGTGCTTTGGCTATGACTGGTATGAGATCCACTACTCATTCTTTTCTTTCTTCTTGTACTGATTTTAAACATTCTTGGGTTATTGATTCTGGTGCTACTGATTATATGGCTTGTTGTGTTGACTCATTTCTTTCTTATAACCCTACTATTGGCACCCATACAATAGCTGTAGCTGATGGCTCACACACATCAGTTGCGGGTTCCGGTAACATATATTTACAGCCTTCCTTACATCTCCAAGATGTTCTTTATGTTCTCAAACTCTCCACTAATCTTCTTTCTATCCATAAAATTACCAAAGATTTGAATTGCACTGTAACTTTCTTCCCTACTCACTGCGTTTTTCAGGATCTCGCCACGGGGAAGACGATTAGGGGTGCTAAAGAGCAAGGTGGGCTGTACTATCTGGTACCAGAATCTTCTGCAAAGTATGTTAAAGATCACACCTTGTTGACTGAGTCTCAGTCTACTGCCGACTCTTTGATTTGGCTCCATCATAAACGCTTGGGGCATCCTCCATTTCGTTTGCTTAAGTCTTTATTTCCATCATTATTTTTGCCTAAGTCTGTTGAGTGTTTTCATTGTGATGTTTATGAGTTTGCTAAACACCATCGTGTCTCTTTTCCTTCTAGTACCATTAAAAGTGTTGAGCCTTTTGATCTTGTTCATTCTGATGTTTGGGGTCCTTCTAAAGTTCCTCATGTTTCTGGTAAGAAATAGTTTGTTTCTTTCATTGATGATTGCACTCGTGTAACCTGGGTTTATTTAATGCATGAAAAATCTGAGGTACCACAGATATTCTTTCTAAAATGATTGAGACCTAATTTGGAAAAAGAATTAAAAGACTAAGGTCTGACAATGGTACCAAATATGTCAATCAGTGTCTTTCCAAATTCATCCAAGATCAGGGCATGATTCATGAACTTACTTGTGTGGACACCCCTCAACAAAATGGAGTTGCTAAGAGAAAGAATCGTCATCTTCTTGAAGTTGCTCGCGCCTTACTTTTTCAGAATCATGTACCCAAATGCTACTGGGGAGATGCCATTCTTACTGCAGCTTTCTTAATCAACCGCTTGCCCTCTCGGGTCCTTGACAATGTAAGTCCTATTCACTCAATGACTTCATTCTTTCCCTCTGTTCCCTCTATGCAGAGTCTTCAGCCACGAGTGTTTGGGTGTGTTGTCTTTGTCCACGTTCATAAACATCTTCACAGTAAGTTGGATCCTAGGGCTCTCAAATGTATCTTCCTTGGTTATGCCTCTGGTAAGAAAGGCTACAAGTGTTATCATCCTACTAGTCGAAAATTCTTTGTCTCAATGGATGTCACATTTCATGAATCTGAGTCCTTTTTCCCAAGTCCTCATCTTCACGGGGAGAGTAGTTCTTCAGTAGATTCATCACCTTCTATCTTTGAGTCTGGACCTTCCATGCCTTCTCCTACACCTCTTCCTCCTGTTTCTGATTCTTTTGTGTCTGACCCATCTGATACATCGAAAATACGGAGGATTGTGACACCTGAGTTGGTATATCAAAGGAGAAAGCAGCCCACACTACTTCACTAGCAACCTCAATCGTCTGAACCACTGGTAAATCCTGAATCTCTTGTTTCTGATTCTAATATTATTACTTCTCCTGTTTCTGAACCTAATATTGTTGCATCTAATGACTTGCCCGTTGCTTCTGATAGCTTACCCAGTACCTCTGACGACTTACCTATTGCCTTAAGAAAAGGAAAAAGATCTTGTACCCAACACCCTATCTCTCATTTTGTCTCTTCTACTAACCTTTCTGTGCAGCACAAAAGCTTTATTTCAGCACTAGATTCTATCTCAATCCCAAAATCAGTACATGAAGCATTAAAAGATGAGAATTGGGCTCGAGCCATGCAAGATGAGATGAATGCCTTGGAGAAAAATAAAACATGGGAGGTTGCTGATAGACCTGATAGAAATAAAGCAGTAGGGTGCAGATGGGTTTATGCCTTGAAATATAATTCTGATGGTATTCTTGAGAGATATAAGGCTCGGTTAGTTGCCTTACACTCAGACCTATGGCATTGATTATGAAGAAACTTTTGCCCCAGTTGCAAAGATGAATACTGTGAGAGCTTTGTTGTCCCTTGCTGCCCATTACAACTGGGATATGAATCAATTTGATGTGAAGAATGCTTTCCTTAATGGTGAGTTAGAAGAAGAAGTCTACATGGAAATCCCACCTGGCTTTGGCTCTATGGATGGAGGAAATAAAGTTTGCAGGTTAAAAAAGGCTTTGTATGGTTTGAAACAGTCTCCTCGTGCCTGGTTTGGGAGATTTACTAAGGTTATGCTGACCTTAGGATATAAACAGAGTCAAAGAGATCACACACTATTCTTCAAGCACTCCCAAAATGGGAAGCTAAATATACTCCTTGTATATGTTGATGATATTATTATAACAGGTGATGATATTGCTGAGAAACATTTTCTACAAGCACGACTAGCCTCTGAGTTTGAAATTAAAGATCCTGGGAGATTGAAATATTTCCTAGGGATAGAGGTAGCTCATTCAAAGGAAGGAATTTTTATTAGCCAGAGGAAATATGTCCTTGATCTTCTTAAAGAAGCGGGAAAACTTGGGTGTAAACCCTCTAGTACTCCTATTGAGCAGAATCACAAGATAGGTTATGAAGAGGAGAGTCCTCCAGTTGATAAAGGACAATATCAGCGGTTAGTTGGGAGACTGATATATTTGGCTTATACTAGACCAGATCTTGCTTATGCTGTCAGTATTGTAAGTCAGTTCATGCATAATCCAAAAGAAAAACACATGCAGGCAGTGGAGAGAATTCTTCAATATCTTAAAGGCACTCCTGGTAAAGGACTGTTGTTCTGGCGTAATGGCAATCTCTCTTTAGAAGTTTATACTGATGCTGATTATGCTGGATCCGTAACTGATCGTCGATCTACAACTGGTTATTGTATGTTTCTTTGTGGTAACCTAGTGACATGGAGGAGTAAGAAGCAGGACGTGGTTGCCAGATCGAGTGCTGAGGCTGAATTTCGAGCTATGGCTCAAGGCGTTTGTGAACTATTGTGGTTGAGAATTATACTTGGTGATCTTAAAATAAGATGTGAAGGACCTATGAAGTTATTTTGTGATAATAAGTCCGCCATTTGTATAGCTCATAATCCAGTTCAACATGATCGGACTAAGCACATTGAGGTCGACCGCCATTTTATCAAAGAGAAGCTTGACATCCCACCTTCTGGACGTCAATTAGCTGATATTCTAACAAAGGGACTTCCCTCAGAAAGGTTTCAAGAGCTTACGTATTTGTTTATTTATTTTCATTCTAGAATCTTCTTTGGGCTTAGCCTATTAGGTTATTTAGTCTCTTTAAATAGAGAGCAATTGTACAGATGTAATACACAATTTTATCAATTAGACCATCTCTTTTTTCAACTACAACATTTTTGTAAAAGTGCAAGAGTAAGATTGCGTACAATTTACCTACTCTTACAAAGTCAAAAAGCCTTGTGCACCTTATATAAATGATCTGAGGAGGAACTGTTGGTTATTTTACCTATTGGGAAAAGGCTTTGATTGTTGTTAATTGTTTAAGGAAGCCATTATCTACTATTCTTTAGTTTTATGAATAGGCTTTTAACGAGTAACTTGTTATCCTCTTCAGGATTTTTCCAAAGGAAGGACATAACTTGGAGCAATTACGAATAAATGATATTCAAAACTATTATACTTAATCTAGTGATATGCAAACGTTATCGTTTGGTCAAAAGTTTTTTATAGCTGAAATAAAGCTGTTGCTAGTAAATAGTAATATACTAATAATGGCGAACTGACTTCATATTAAATCAGTGATTCATGCAGTATATTCCAATATAAATCTCAGTCTTCCAATTTAATTATTTGTAACAGCCCAAAACTGAAGAGGTTAAGAAGGAACTAACGGACAGGGATGTTCAAGAGGGCTTTGACATTACACTTACAAAGCATAAGGGACAGGTATGTACTTCCTTAGTGCTTAAGCTAATGGGATTTAGTCTTAGCATCTGTTATGTCCATTTAGTTCCCTTTTTATTTAATTTTTTGGTTTGTATTATAATAATTTTTCTTCCCCTGTGGGATTTCCTCTTCACAGTATGCTCTACGAAAATTGTACCATGAAAGTCCAAGGCTTATATGTGTATTATATACATCACCAACGTGCGGTCCATGTAGGACGCTGAAGCCAATCCTTAGCAAGGTATGTGAGAAAAGGGGGATTTAAAGTTATGTCATGATCCTGAAGTTAGATATCATAATACTCACGTCACGAGTATTGTTGTCAGCGTGTGACATGCTACATAAGCACTTACTAGGAATGAATACACATTTTTGCCTTTCGATATATGTTGGTATGACATAGAATTTTTGTTTTTCAAAAAAGAAAAAATTGACCACGTTGCATGATGCATTGATATTTATGCACATCACATTGACATTATTTTTAATTTTATAAACACTAAAATAGGACCTCCGGTAGAATTGTTGGTGTTGTCCCCATGTGACCTTGATGTCACATAGTGGGAGCCTTATATCACCAGGCTGCTCTTTTCAAACACTGCGATAGAAGAGAAAGAAGAACTACTAAGAGAAGAAAATAAGATATCCTTTAAGGATGTTAAGGAACACAAAAACCAAAAAAAAAAGAAAAAAGGAAGGTGAAATACACATCAACTGAGAAATCTACCGGTCTCTGTGCCAAATGATGAAAACAACTCTAACATAGACATTAGCTAATCACCAAAGCGAAGCTAAGAAGATAGCTTTATAACCTTTAAGTTGAAGGTGGACATCAGATTTATATGTGCATATATGAAGCTGTCACCAACTTGCCACATCATAAATATGGACAAGTGTATGCAAGAAAGAAAGGGAACAAAAGTAGAGGATCCATAACCATAACTAACTTCCAAACCATAACTAACTTTGCTGAGTCAGCAAAAGAAGTGGAGGGAAATTCTATTGAGAGAGGCACGCAAGATGCAAGGCAAGAGGTTGTTATTAGGGGAGAGTGAAAGAAGGAGGAATCATTCTAGAATCTGAGTAATTTGGGACTTGGGAAATTGGGAGGGAACCAGAGCCTCTCCTAAAAGCTTTGGGTTGTAGCTTGCTTAATGTTTTCCTTTAATTCAGCATTTACTTTTTATTTTCAGTAGTTGTTTCGATTGTAAACACTGGGGAAAGCTAGTGTAATATCTGTCCAAAGTTAATGCAGAGGTTATTTTACCTTTTATTCGCCTTGAGTCTTGTTTTTTTTTTACAATTGGTATCAAAGCTCTGATTTGGGAGCTCTGTGGATGGTGTTTACAATATGGAGGCTCGATATGAAGAACTAATTGAAAGAGTGAGGAGGACAAAAGAAAATCAGATGAGAAATCATTTGGAGATTCTCAGGAGGTTGGATGAAGTTTTACCCAATAATCAAAACGAAAACACCGATGAGGAAGGTCGAAGAAGAACTAGAGGAACTTGCGGTAGGGGTTTACAGGGGTCTAATGGTGAAGTGGATGGAAATCCGAGACGACATCGATGGGGGGAACTATTTGGGCGTCGATTGGACCTACCCATCTTTGATGGGGGGATGCGTATGGTTGGTTGAACAAGGTTGAGTGTTATTTCCTAATCAATGGAGTAAGGGACGATTAGAAGGTGGCGGCGGTTTTGGTGGTCTTAGAAGGCGAGGCACTCAATTGGTTCCAATGGTGGGAGATCAACACTGTTAACACCACTTGGGAGTTCTTTTGGTTGGAGCTTCTCAGCCGTTTACAACCGGAAGTAGTGGACAACCCACTACGATCGCTGCTCACTCTGAGACAAACCGGAAAAGTAACGGAATTCCGAAGGAAATTTGAAAGGGTAGTTAGCCCCTTGCGCTATTAGGACGAGGAGTTACTGAGAGGAGTGTGGCTTAACGGGCTGTGTGACAGCGTGTGAGAAGAGCTGCTGATGCATCCCACGATTCGGTTGAGTGAGATGATGAAAATGGCGATGAAGATTGAATGGCGCAACCAAGCGTGGACGACGGAGGGGATGAAGAAGACTGGAATGGGGTTGGGCTCAAGTGCAACTGCTTCTATTTGGGGCCATGATCACCGGTTCGTTAATACAAATTCAATGGGAAATAGAATAACCCAAGCGGGTTCGGGTCTGACTAATAACCCAAAAGCCTAATACGGGTGAAGGGGCCAAACCACATACCAGTGGACAAATTAACCCTAATTTCCCAAATTCACAGAACGTACCTAAAAACCTAAACGCAGAGAGTTTGGCGAGTGTGGTTGGAGGCGGTGACGACCGTCGTTTGCCCCAAGCAGAGTTGCAAGAGCGTTCTCGTTTGGGCCTCTGCTTCAAATGCAACGAAGGTGGGACCCTAAACATCGTTGTCAAGTCTAACAGCTTCGGTTGATTATCGTCGACGATGAAGATGAACCCGAAGAGAAGCAGGTCGCAGATCCAGTAACTGTAGAAGAGGAGGTTGACTATGGATAACCAACCGTGGCAGTGCAACTGTCCATGCAGAGCTTAATGGGTCTCTTTTCCAGTCAAGCGATATGCGTGTGGGGAAGGGTAAACGAGGAGAAGCTGACCATGTTGATCGATTGCGGCGCCTCTTACAATTTTATCGGAAGGGAGGTAGCCAACCGCTTGAAACTGAAGATGAAAGAGACACCTAAGTACCTCGTACAAGTCGGAGACGAACATCAAGTATCTTGTCAAGGGATTCGCCCGGAGGTAGTTGTTGACATTCAAAGGCAAGAAATCTGTCAAGATCTTCATCTGTTCGATTTGAGTGGAGTAGATCTAATACTGAGGTTGACATGGCTCAGAGGGTTAGGTGAAGTTAGGGCAAACTTCAAGTAGATGACATTGAAATATGACTAGGAATGAAGGGAGTTCGTCATTTCTGGAGATGCGTCCTTATCCAAAACGATGGTATCATACAAAACAATAGTGAAGGTCAGCAACAAGGTTAGGGATTTTTAGTGGCACCAAGAAGAACACAGCAGGCGGGCCAGATTCAAGGGTGGAAGGAGTTGGAGATATTACTAGAGGAATTTGAGGATCTCTTCCAAGTGCCAATGGGACTGCCACCAAAAAGGAGCTGTGACCACGCTATTACACTCAAACCAGGTAGAGAAATTCCAAATAATCGACCATACAGGTACCTTTTCTATCAAAAGACTGAAATAGAGAAGTTGGTAGGTGAATTGTTGAGTCAGGGCATGATTAGGCTAGCATCAGTCCTTATGCCAGTCCGGTAATTCTTGTAAAAAAAAAAGATGGGAGTTGGAGGGTGTGTATAGATTGTAATTGAATCTGAAATATATTGTATATTTAAGTGTGTAAGTCTGTACAAGGAGGCTCTCTATTTATAGAGACTAAAAGACCTAATGGGCCAAGCCCACAATCTAGACTATTCTAGACTATTCTAATAATAATAAATTAATATTATTTCTAACACTCCCCCTCAAGCTGATGCGTATATATCAACAGCTCCCAGCTTGTTACAAATATGATCTATTCGGGGACCTCTAAGAGCTTTAGTGAATACATCCGCAAGTTGATCATTGGAATTGACAAATGCTGTCTCGATCTCCCTTGACTGGGTCTTTTCTCTAACAAAATGACAGTCAATTTCTATATGCTTGGTCCTCTCATGAAAGACTGGGTTAGAGGATATATGCAAAGCGGCTTGGTTGTCACAAATGAACTTCATAGGCCTTTGTTCACAGAGATGGAGTTCCTTCAGCAATTGACTCAGCCAGATGAGCTCACAGGTTGCATTTGCCATTGCCCGATATTCTGCCTCCGCACTGGATCTGGCGACCACAATTTGCTTCTTACTCTTCCAAGAGATCAAATTTCCTCCGAAGAGAACACAATACCCTGAGGTGGATCGTCTATCTGAAGGAGAACCTGCCCAGTCAGCATCTGAATAACTAGAGATCTCTGAACTCCCTTTATTTGTATATAATAAACCTCTTCCTGGCGCCTTTTTAATATATCGGAGAATTCTAGTAACTGCATCCCAATGGGAGTCACAGGGAGAATCAAGAAATTGACTTGCAACACTCACTGCGAAGGAGATATCTGGCCTTGTCACAGTAAGATAATTCAATTTTCCAACTAGTCGGCGGTAGCGACTAGGATCTGGCAGTGGCTCCCCCTGTCCTGGTAATAACTTAACATTGGGGTCCATAGGTGTATCAATGGGTTTACAGCCTAACATGCCAGTCTCATCTAGGATATCCAGTGCATACTTCCTCTGACAGATGGAAATACCCGCCTAGACTGTGCAACTTCGATCCCCAAGAAATATCGAAGTCTGCCAAGATCTTTGGTATGAAATTGATTGAATAAATGCTCTTTCAACTGATCAATCCCGGTCTGATCACTGCCTGTAATGATAATGTCATCAACATAGACCAGGAGATAAACGCACTGGCCAGAAGAGCTATGCCGGTAAAAGACAGAATGATCGGCTTTGCTTCTGATTAATCCAAAGGATTCAACAACTGAACTAAAGCGGCTAAACCAGGCCCGAGGAGATTGCTTCAGGCCATATAAAGATTTCCGAAGTTTACATATCATTCTAGAACTCTCCCCCTGAGCAACAAAACCTGGTGGTTGCTCCATATAAACTTCCTCCTGCAAGTCACCATGTAGAAAAGCATTCTTAATATCAAGTTGGAGAAGGGGCCAGTGATGAATGGCGGCAAGGGCAAGAAACAGGCGAACAGAAGCCATCTTAGCAACAGGAGAAAAGGTATCCCCATAATCAAGACCAAAGATCTGTGTGTATCCCTTGGCCACTAAGCGAGCTTTAAGGCGATCAACAGTGCCATCAGGACCAACTTTAACTGTGAACACCCATCGACAACCAACAACAGACTTCCCGGGAGGAGCACGAACAAGATCCCAAGTGCCATTGGAGTGAAATGCCTGCATTTCATCAAGCATCGCCTGGCGCCACCCTGGATGAGATAGTGCTTCACCTGTGGTTTTAAGGATGGAAACAGAAGAGAGACTAGAAACAAAAGTAAAATGTTGTGAAGAAAGTCTGTAATAACTCAAGAAAGAATAAAGGGGATGAGGATTTCGAGTGGATCGAATACCTTTCCGAAGGGCAATGGGAGGAGTCTCTGATGGAGGATCCGGAGGAGAAGAGCCGACGGGAAAGGGCGATGAGTCATCAAGAGG